CTGGCCTTCGAATCAAGAGACATTTGTGGTTTAAGTGTTTTGCTCAGGAATGCTTCGACATGTAAAACAAATGGAGCTGGAGAACGAACCACCAACCTTGTGATTAATAGAAAACCTGAACTTCCTCCTGAGTCACAGTCGCAGTCTACTTTATGCCCAGTATAAAACATCTTTTTTTGTTAAGTTGAATAGATTGTTACACAAAAAGCAAGGCAGAAAGTTTCACAAAAAGTGTGTCATCACACAATTCTCCTGTTGCTAACTTCTTGGCAAAAACACTATTATATTATTAGAGGATAATATAATAAAAAATATTCCTTGAAATGGAAATTTGTAAAAAAGTGCCATCATTCTAAAGGTATCATTCTAGGTCTATATTGGTACCCTTTGCTGCAAAGTATGCTTTTTGTTATTTCTTACATAGTGTACCTACACTTTGAGTTCTGTTTATCTTCCCATTGAAATGACACAGTTTCTGTGTCACTTTCTGCCTTGTTTACTGTGTAACAATGTACTCTACTATTTAAAAAAATAAATTGTACTGGGCACAAAGTGGGGGGTGCATACATAACAGTGATAGTTCCATTTTTATTTTTCTCCCTCAGAGGTTTAACAGAGATAAATAAAATCTAACCCTGCCCTATTCACCTCTATCTTCATGCAAGAACAGTCTGGTTATGGGTGTGGACAAACTGAATCCCACTGAGTCTCACTCTAATGTTTCATTAGTCAACTATGTTGTCCACACAACTTCAAAGCAGAGCAGGAAATAGGCAAACCAGATCCATGCATGGGAATCAACAGAGATGCTGAATCAGTGCTGAACAAACACATATTTTAGTTTTTTGGGGGAAAAAAAGAATCAAATTAAGACAAGAAGAAGAAGAAGAAGAAGTAATTTGTCTGGTTGATTACCTGTCAGTAAAATAGTATAACTTTATACAGTGAAGTTAACTATATGTTTACCTTTTCTATTTCAAAGGTGTAAATTGTAGCAGGGCTCTGTATACATGTGGATTTGATTTATGGATTTGTACAGGGCACAAGATATATGTGGTATTGTGTGATACCTAGAGGGTCATATTTCTAGACAGAGACAAAACACTCAAACTTCTTTTTAACTTTGTTTCCAGCTGACGTGCCCTAGAAGTCCCACAGCAACAAGTGCAACGTGATAAATTAAAATAAGTCTGACTGATGAGGTTTTGTGGTGGGGTGTGTTTGACTTAGTAAGCCGGTTATCCAGCAGAGTGAGGTGTTACAGGATGGGGCTCCCACAGCTGGCTGCCATCACTCTCAAGTCAACTGCTTCTAATTTTTCAGCTCCAGTTCTATCTCTCTGGGCTCTTATTCCTCTGTCTTTATATATAAAACTATGAGTTGGGACAGGGTGGTCCCCCTATTTCTCCATGGGATGCAAGCAGATGGGAGAAGCCAGAGGTGGATTGTTTGATTTGCTCATGTGTTAACTGCTGCTGTGCCGGATGGTTTCCTCGTGTGCCCCACACATGATCCGGAGCTGGTATCCAGGCCTGCAGCAAGATCTCCCACACTGATTTCTCACCCTGCAGGGACCTGAAACACTGATAAAACAGAAATAAAAAGACTAAAACACAATAAAGATTGTGGTAGAAATGGCCGTGTGTTTCCAGTTTGTTCTGCAGCTCTGTGCGTGTAGTGTTTTATTCCTCTGTGCCTTGCATATTTATTTATCAGGTGTTTCGACATCACAACAATGAGTTCAACCATTTGGAACAGATTGAAAGACCTTCAAAGATTCACTCCTTCTTCCGCAATGGGGAAAGATGCCATTTTCTAAAAATATCCTCCTTCAGGACGTCAGCTCACATTGTGTGCAGATGATGCAGCCGCTGTCCAAAATATGTCAGTACAGATGTTTGTCAGTGTTTTAGCATTTTGATTTCACTCCAACCTGTTCTGGATGTACTGGGGAACTCTGCATTAGAGGTGCGACATGTAGTTTTTATGTTTTAAAAATGAGAGCCATATTTCTCATAAATCCTGGTGCTTCCTGTATCAGTGGACATAACTATTTCTCCCTCCTCCCTGTTGTCACTTCAGTTGTTTTAAAGGACAAAATGAAGAAGTTTTTGAGTAGTAAATATGGCTTTTAGGGAAACAAAAAGCTTTCTCCATGGAATGGCAGCTTTAGTCAGTTTGAATCTGCAGCATTTCAATGGATTTCGATGGCAGCAAAGAGTAAATAGAATAGAAAAAATAGAAAAAGGTGAAATGTCCATAAATATTTCTCAAACCACTATTGCAGCATAATCCACAACATTGCATGCTACTTCCATGTCTCATCAGAAAAAGTTAGCTAATTAGCTATTTCATTTGGCCATTTATTGCCATTGGATTTATTTGTTTCTATGAAAATTTTTTGATACATTTACATTTGTGGCTTTCATTGTTTGCAACAACCAATTGACAAAATAAGTCATTTATTATTGACTTCCAAAATATGACCAATTACTGGTATGACTGCCACCGATGTGGTTAATTTGGTTTGGTTAGGCACAAAAACAACTTGGTTACAGGCATAATGAGTAGGATTTGTCGGTTGCTATTTGTAAACATGGTCAAAACTTTATACAGAAGTTGCTTTGTTCTGGAAAAAATATATTTTTTTGGTGGTTAATATGAAGAATTATATTTGGTCGGTAATATTCTTATTTATTCTTATTCTTATTTGTTTAGTATGCATGGTCATTTATTTATTACGCAAATGTTTGTGTTGCCTAGGGGTAAAAGTGTGGTATTTTGTAAATTGTGGGGGTTGTTTAATCAATAGGTCAGATGACTGATCACCACCCTGATGAAGGCAAGCTGGACAAAAAATTTTCTAAATAATAATAAAGTTGTATAACCATTTTTTGTGTGATGTGAACAGCACTCTCCACTTAACTTCGTTAACCCGTCCTCTTATCATAGGTTTTGTTATTACAACATTATGCTACTTCCGTTTTTGCACAACCAGAAAAGAGCTTTGTCAGGTGAGCATAAACATCATGATTTTAGGCTTTTGAACACTGACCATTGATGTTGGTTTTATGGAGAGGACAGTCTCTTTTTTTTTGCTTTGATGTAAGCTGGGTACAGCTGATGTCCTCTATGAAGAGCCAAAAAGCAGAAAAACCTTTTCCGAGCCACCATTGAAACCTATGCTGGGGGTGAGTATTTGACACTCAAAAGGTTTCTTTAAAACATGGTTTCCTGTTTTTCTATCTACGGGCTGTAAAACAACAGACACGATGTTGGACCGTGTAAATTTCTGTGCTGCTGGTGCTGACAGAGGCTGTCAACTCTCTTAGCAATATTTTGATTAGTTAGAAGTAACTCTAATAATATCTTGGACTGAATGTAGAAATAATTTATTGATTTTAAATTGCTAATAAAAGTGTATGTGATCGACAGAACGGCAACACAGACATTAATCGTCTTATAGCTGAAGGTGACTGTGCATGTATCTTTATGAGCTGAGTCGGTGACGTAGTCGTGTTTGAGTTTTATCGCCCCGAGCATATTTTAATATGTCTTCGCTTTTCCTACAGTGGGCATGTCTGTTCACTTTTATCTGAAGACTTATTTTTTTCTGTCATTTCAGCTGACTCACAGTCTTGATTAATCTTGACAGAGGGGAAAACGTAGTTTGATTAGTGTCTCCATATAAGTGCTCCCCGCTGATCAAATTAAAATTCTGCAGTCTATCTGTCAACCCCATCTCAGTCAAGTTTGCTGCATTCAGGGCTTCATATAGAAACCAGTCAAGGAGGGAAAGAAACTGTACAGAAACATTTCACACTGATATTTTTGTTTTGCTTTTCCAGGCGCACTTGTCTCTGAAATTGGTTGAGTAAAAACTGTAAATACGTTGTTAAGACTGTGGCGTTTTTGCAAAAACAGAATTGAAGCAACTGCAGACATCTGTACTGTATTTGGTGACTTGCCTCATCTCACGTCCTCCTCTTATGTCCTTTCTGTTTCTGTGGAGGATTTATCACTGAGGATTCATCTCTGACACGTAGCAGGAAGAAAACCCCGTTGGACTCCAGAATGTTTAAGTTGTGATAAGACTGCTGGGAACCACACTCCAGATCCAATGGACACAAACATATGGTCCTGCTTTTTGACTGCGGTTTGGCTGCCAGTCTGCCACTCCATAGTTTATGGTTTCAGCATTTTATTTTCATGTGCTTGAGGTCATTTTCACAAATGCTCTTGGGTGTTTTGTAAAGGGGGGGGGTTATGTGCATTTCATAAGCCTTTATAACATCAAGTCTGTGTAATGTATTGTGGACATTTCCTCAGGAGATTTTGAGGTCCATACGGTCAACTTTGCGAATAATTTGAATAATTTCAAATGTTTCTATATCGGAGTACAAACTCACTGAGGTTTCTCCAACCCTTTCATAATGTCAACATGCTTTTTAATCCTAAATCCAGTATTAAATTAAAGGAATAGTTCGACATTTTCAGAAATGTTTTATTCGCCTTCTTGGTAAGAGTTTGATGAGAAGATCAATACCACTTTTATGTCTGTTTAGTAGATATAAAGCTACTGCTAGCTGCTTGTTATCTTAGCTTAGCATAAAGACTGGAATCAGCTAGTCTGGTTCTGCCCAAAGGAAACAAAATCAGCCCCCAAAATTATTGTTTGTTTAATCCATACAAAAACCACTGTGTGTAAAAACAACATGTGGTTGCACGGGGGGAGGGGGATTATATGTCAGATTATTTATTATCTTTTTATCATCTTTAAGTTGCCAGATAACAAGCAGAGACTCGAGGAAGTCATTGGTCCTGGCCAAGAAATAGTCTGTCACAAGATGCCTGTAAAACAGCAAATAGTTGCTTTTACTCTTATATTATTATATAATGTGTTAATTAGTGAATTTAGAGATTTAAGATATGTCCGTTAATGTAAACATAGCCAGTCTGAGTTTAGCTACAAAGACAAACTGGACACACAATGCAATGACATCTCTGTTTATTGTATTATAGATGCTCATTTCATTTGCACACATTTTTATTTTTATTTTTATTTTTTTTTACATTTTATAGTGTATTTTTGTATCGTGTATCAACTCTAAGAAATTCACATTTACACAATGCATTTAACATTAGTAGGTAAGTACAGGTGACATTCAGCATTTTCGGGAGCAGGTCCTGATCTATCTGTATCAAGTTTGTAATAATATCACAGTGAACCCCCCTATAGATTTCATGTTACGGCATATTACATGTCCCGTCGCCTCTGAAATGGAGATACACAATGAAACTTACTGTACATGCAAAACCTCTGCACAGTAAAGCTGATTTCTATCAACTAATAGCATATGTGAGTTTTAGAGTAGAAGTCTTAGGTGACATGTATATGTTTTTGTAATGCTACATGACCCTACTAGTTGCCAGTATTTATAGCATGTTAACATACAGTATAAGTTCATTGGCAACCTATTTGTACTGTAAGTCTCTCTATTTTAGTGCCAGGTTTATACAGTTTGCTTGAGTCTCCAAGGTTAATTGATAGCTCTGACTTCTGTTTACTAAAAACCTTCATTAGCTCTCAAAATATCAAAAAAATGCACATAAAATCATAAAATAAGTGGAAAAACTGCAAACAAAATAGAGTCAAAGATCTGAACTTAAAGACACCTGACACTGTATACAGGCACTTGAACTGTGGTACACTCTTTGAGTGCATTCATATAACATCTAATAAGTGCTACAAAATAACATATCAGTTAGAAAAAATACTGATTTCAAAAGTGTAATACTATTCATAATATAAACCAACAGGAAAATGTAAAGACAAAAACAATTTACGACAAACAGAATGAGGGGAAATTTAAACCTTATCCTTGAATGTGTCTTGCATATTTCTGTTATATTCGGGTTGTACATTCTTACATTGTGTGTCTCACTTCACAAGCTGCTAGGGAGAAAGAGAATAAGTTAGTTCAGGGTAGATGAGTGCACTGCTGGAGGGCTGATTGGGCCTCAGGGGGAGACAGAGTCGAGGAGTATGTTTTTTTTTTTCCTTTAAATCAACACTCTGGTCACTCATACTGTAGCAGCGTCTGCTTTAATGTCACTGCCACAGCTAGGATCAGGATGATTCATGCCGGCTCTCTCAATAGAGGAGTGAATCATACACTGTTGCTCTGTGTGTGTGGTCACATGTCCACATCACATGCCCACATCAACTAAGGAGCTGTGAGCAAAAATACAGCAGCATTTTATTTGTTTCCATTCATAACGCTGCCATGATACAGGATGAATCACAAGTGATGATACCAGAAAGTTTAATTGTCTTGCGATGTTGGTGACCATGTGACCGATCCATGCAGCATCACACAGGATATAATGACTCACTTTCTGCCTGACATTTCTTATCTATCTATTGCGCACTAAACTCAACAGTCTCTGCTAATAAGTAAACACATCTTATTTCTCCTGTAAAGTAATAGGTTTTACACTTCTTGGCTTTATTTGCAGGAGTTACACAAGAAGATTGATACCACTTGTCCAGGGATTATAGTCCAACCTGTAAAAACCCCAATGTGTTGTGTCGTGCTGCTGGCAGTAGCATTATATCTACTGTACAGACATGAGTGTGGTATTGATCTTCTCATCTAAGTCTCTGCAAGAAGTGATAAACATATTTTCCCAAGATGTCAAACTATTTCTTTTAAATCCACCAGTGTCTGAATCATGTTGGAATTAGTTAATATGCATATCAACCCGTATCTTTCTACATTTTAATTTTTCAACAGAACAGCTGCTTTATATCTGTACCTGTCTACCTACCTACTCTATCATACATCTACAGATTGTTTACAGAAATGCTCTACAGATCTCATGATAATTTTTAGTCATACCACAACAAGAGGGACCCTGAGAAAGTACATGCCCCTGTAGGAATGAATACTAAAGCAGTGCAGTCAAGCTCAGCTCTGATATACTTCTTTTTCAAGATATCTATGTTGACTGCCTTTACAGTTACTGCAAGCAGCAGGGGACCAACACAAAAGTGGTCCTGTGTGATAAAGAGGTGCCACCTAGCCTTGCTGCTAAGTGCTTTTATATCACCATGGCGATATAGTAAATGTCAGTGGCCTCGGACTTGGATAAGGGGTCTGTAATGTCATGTTGAGGATTCAAAGAAAGCCATGTCGCCCCTCTGTTGTCCGCAGCATTAATCCCGATGAGAAGTGGCTGAGCCAAGTGGAGTAGAGGGTAAATGAAGCTGAAACCCTGAGGTAATTACTACCTGCCTGTCAGGACTTCTCTCTAATGGGCCCAACGTTGACGTGAGCGCCACCGCTTGTACATAAGCGCCTCAACCCTGTTCATCAGGCTCTATCACACAGACAGAGCTGCATGCAAGACTGTGAGAGTGTGTGAAGGCTGGCGGTGTCAGTCAGCTGAGGATAGTGAAAAAACCTTGCCTCTGAGGGGTATCCCAATTTTCCACTCAGTAAGTGTAAAGAATGACAGATGGGATTCCTTTCCACAAATTTGTTCTGTACAAAATTCATTTAAGCATCTGTTTAATGAGCAGCTCAGTATACTGGGTCACTGATGACGCCACAGCTCCTTTTTTGCTCATCAGAAGGCTTTGCTTCCCCTAAGACATGTCAACTCATCACAGTGAGTCAGCAGAGCTCCACAGTCTAAAGATGTTTCTCTCATGTTGCACATCCAGGCTCCATAAAGGACCGTGAAGGCACCCTGCTGAATCAGCCATGTAACTCAAGCCACAAAATGAAAGTAATGCACCACAAACAGGAGACAAACATTTTGATGTGTTACATTATAAGCATGAAATTACTGAAACACAATCCCTGGAGGCGCAGTGAAGGGGTCTATGTGAGCGAGGGGATGGAGACTGCAGAGTACAGGAAGAAAAATAGTTGATTACCGGGCGGGCTACACAGCAATTGACCTTTCTTCCCAAATATGAGTCACTTGCATCAGTCGGTGCATCTAGTCTCAAACAATGACGCACATTTTATAAGAGAACATGCCATGAAATGTTTCTGTGAATAATGATAAAAGAACAAGAAACTTCAGATGAAGTTGGGAGTGACTCACGGCTCCCCAGCTGCTTTTTGTATCGCTGATAACGGCGGGGGTCTAATAGAGTGAATCCTACGGAGAGAGACAAAGGATTACAGAGAGTGGGACGCCACAGAGGAAGATGTGAGAGTAGAAAGGTCTCTTTGATGCGCGAGGAAAAAGAAAGCGGAGATAATGGAGAACCTCGCTGCCTATTTACCTTTCAGGCACATACGTTTAATGGCTAGTGATTGTGGAATTAGAGGGAAAATGGAAAGCTTAGAAAGGGGCAGAGGATACTAAGTTGGCAGTTAATGAGAATTATGTCAATATTAGATACTGGAATAGTCAGTTAATATGAGATGCACTGGCATATATCTATGATTATGTATCTGCAGTGACATTGGTACAGATAGTGGTTGATATTGCCGTAGAGGTCGTGTCCAGGCACACTGATAGAGTTGGACTCTATATGCGGGGATGAAGAGTCAAACTGTGGCCCAAAGGTGCTGGGAGGTCCATACAAGTCAAGTCTTTGCTCTGTGGCCACTTCACATATAAATCTGAGTCAGTTTTACATTCCCATGTGGCCCCCCTGCTTGGTCCTCAGTTCAAGTCCCCACTCTACTCTCCCAGCCTTCAGCTATGACGCCTCCTCTTCTTCCTCCTCCTCTTCCTCAGACTTCAGGGGGAGGCGTGTCAGGCTGGGGACCGCCATCCACCCTCACCACTGCAGAGAGATAGTGAAAAGAAATATATCAGGCTCTGGAAGATGACACAGGTGATTTGTGGTGATATTTAAATCAGCTGTGGTTAATTTTTTCTTATTCACAATTCTCAATTATGAATATTCTCACTTGTACTAACACAGTCTTTTTGTGTTTCCCACTGAGCAGGTCTTTATTTAGTGAGAGGGAAGTCATTTGAGGGCACTTTGATTAGTTTCTGATTAATAGGCGAACGTTTCATTTAGCCCACAAATAACTTTCAATCCACCAGAAAACATAAATACATTCTTTAAGTCCTTCAGCATGGAAAAACTCATGTCCAAAGCCCATGATAATCACACTTTTCCCTGCAGGGGGCCCTGTGGTGTCACTCACTCATTCGAACCTGTTAAACTGGAGTCATTAGCCGGATGAGGATGGGAGACAAATGCTCTCTTTTCCCACAAACCTCTTAACCTGTGGTCAATTGAGGGAAGCCATGGAAACGCCTCGGGAATGCAGAGGCGTTCCTGAGAGGACCCCCGAGTCCGGTGGGTGTATTCTCGTCTTTATAAATGCATCCTTGTGCCAGGGAAGTGTAGTACAAGAGGGTTTATTTTAAAGCTTCAGAAGAGGGGGATTCTTTTGTTCACTTATAACGTCATACCCTCCCTCTGTTTTCATTCCTTTTCCATTCCTAAAAACATTTCCACATACTTTACTGTTTGAAAATACACTTGAATTGCCATACTCTGCCTCTCTGCTCGCTGTTTCTATCCAAATTGATTCTGTCCAGGAACAGCCACAGTCCATAGCTCTCCACTCTCTTCCTTCCTGTTTAAACAAACACTCTACAGGCAGCATCAGTGACAAAGAGCAGAGATGCTGGCCAGTGCAACGCCATCTGTAACCCAGGCATATACACAGTGGCTTCCACCTGTACTTCCACTTCAGCTGTTTCTGAACTGGCATTGCATCTCCTTTTGAAACGTTGATAATAATGGCTACATGGCTGTTTAATGCTTTATTGACCTCATTCCAAGAATGAATGTAAGCTGTCTTTCGCTGTTCCGAAATGTAAATCGAATTACAGCAAACCTTTCTTACCGACTTCTTTTTCTTTCTTTTTTAATCAGCGCATTCAGGCAATCCTGATTAGACCCTTAGCCTCAATAAAGCTTTCAAGTTTGCTGATTGGGATTGAATTTGAGATGGCTTCATGGTAATCACAAGAACTCCTGGGGAAAATTGGGACATTGGGATTGTTTTACTAATTTGAAAAATATATTACTTGTTTCTCATATTTTTACTTATCACTCCCTGCAGGAAGTGCAGAACTTATTTTATTACTTTTCCGTTTAAACCCCAAATTCCATGGACAAATTATGAGTCAACAGGCCCCTGGGCACAGACACAAAAAGGTCTATCTAGCTATCTGTCTGACAGTGATTTCACATACTTTCCTGCACCAATTGTCATTAAACAACATTTAACTCTGATGACAGTCAAATCTGATCAAATCACACCCACTCAACCCTGATGAAGCACACTACAAGCAGAGTTTCTGAGTGAAGAGTGTCAAGAATTTGGAGCTGTCTATGGGTGCTTCAAAAGTATATCCAAAGGGGCTTTATTTGAGTATAAAATTGAAGGTGATTTAAAGCTATCCCTCAAACAAAGTGATCCTCTCTTTCCACTGTCTAAAACCATTTTGACCAGCTGACTTTACTTCGAGCTGACTGGCTGTTGAAAGCAGGTGATGCCATCAGCCGTACTGAGTCGAGCTGAAATGGAACTTTTTCCTGCAACTGTTAAGTCATATTATGAATCTTTGGTGTACTGGGTGTAAATGAACAAGGTAAACTGACACTGTCTATGAGCAATGTTGTTGTCATCCAACAATGGTGGGAATATTTCCACCCTGAGAAGTTTTATCATGACTCTCTAATGTGAGAGAATGACACCAAATTATGAGTCATCCATCCTCTTATTGAATTTGCATTTGCATTAGTAATTTCGCTATGCATTTAAGCTACAATATTATTATTGTAACTTGCCGCTGGATAATGTTACACACTAAAGAATGTACTGTTGCAGAAGGTCCGTCGGGGTCTCTCTAGAATCACAAACATTCAGCAAACTAAACTGCAACCCCTTGACAGTTGCTGATTGTAGTGTTGTAATAAGGACCTACCTCAGGGTTCTCAATGAGGTTTTCAGATAAAGAACTAAATATTTTACTCTATTCTGATAAATATCAATCTGTGTTACTTATATTCAGGACTGTACGCATGCTGCTGTACGAATTTTAATTGTTTTTTTCTGACTGACATTTGCCTTGACTCCATTTTGTGTAGACTGGGAGGTCAAACACAGGACAAGGATGCACGGATGGGTGATGTGAGGGCTTAGAGGGCTTGTTTAAATTTTAAACACATTCAATATGCACAATTCAGAGGGGGGAAGCAGGCAGCAGAAGAGATTGTGGGGGGCAGGGTGGGGTGCTGCACAGATAGACGGTTCTTTTTAATGGAGATGAGTAGACAGAAATGAGGCCGAGCACCCTTCATATAGGAGCTTTCACCCCTCAGCAGTGACCCATGCAGGGTATACCCTTTCTGAATGTTGTCACTGAAAACAAAAGACATTTTCATTGCTCTATTTTGCTTTTTAAAAGGCTTATTTGACTTGTTTCAGCTGGAGGTGTTCCCATTATTTTAGCTGGCAGTAAATTATGGTTCGTTGGAGAAAGGAAACCCCCTGCGATTATCGTGGATTTATTGTGCATATTCTCACCCTCTTGTGTATTTTAACACACCCACTTGGTTGTGGAAGAAACAACGACCCCCAGCACGAGAGCATTTGCTGCCTTTTTAATGGCTTCCGCGCCCGCAGACGGTGCTAATGCCAATTAGCAGGTGCTAAACGCTGATGCTGGATCAGATTTTGAAAGGCAGTGAGACCAGGCCTGGATCCCATCTCATAACACCTGCTAATGAGCCAATCAGTTAAATACGCGAAAAGGGTTAACAGGGCAGTCATCTTCTCAATGAACCAATCCCGAGCTGTTCCTCCCAAAGAAATTCCTTCTTTTCTTTGACATGCAGCAGACTTTGCATTTGTTGAGTGGAAGAATGGAAAGGGGGACTCAAACGAAACACAAAAACAAAATAAGCTTTTCCCAAGCCTCATTAGAATGTAATGGGTATCCCAGAGAAGACACAGTGGTGGGGATTGTTTGAGGAAGGATTTATCAGCTGTTTGGCTTGTTAGCACATTATTATCGCTGTATAACCATTTTTTTTACTTTACTATAATTCACAATAAGAATAAGAAGGAAACATATGAGGTTCTTAGCGAGAAAGTCAGGGAGCGAAGCATGAATGACTGAAGGAATAACAAGATCATGACTGAACTTGAGACTTCTTCTTCAGGTAAAAAGCCTCTCTGGTTTATGAGTATAGATCTAGTCAGAATGCAGGTTTCATCTCTTTAATGTAAGTGCTATTTGAGTATTGAGGGAAGGCAGACTGCTCTACAGAGGTCACATCTCTTTCCCGCAGCACTTGCTTTTATTCTTCAAGCTGTTTAAAGGTTATCCTCTTTTTGCAGCCACTCTGCACAGATTCCCAACTATGCACCTCATTTTTCTGTGTTGGTCCCCAGTGTTGCATCACATACGTTGATTACTAAAAGATTTAAAGGATATATAATTGGATGGAGAGAGCAGACAGCACATTTAAAGGGATGCTAATATGTCTGTAATTCAATTTCTTTACTTTTTGTTGAAGTTGCTACAGTATAAAGGAGAATGCTAGTGATGTTTTTAATGTTTCTAATTGTCTACAAATCCTATAAAATTACCAAAACCTGATATCGCTTATTCCTCTGTGCTATAGACCTTCATTGTTGTCTAAAAACAATCAATCCCACATGCGCTGTCCTGCTGCCATAAAAACTCATTAGAGCAACAACTGTATATTAATCTGCGGCTGAAAATAGTCCCCCAACAAATGCATTATCTGCTCCGATTTGAGTGTTTGCTAAAAACTACAGTACTCTCCTGTTTTATGTAAATAGCTAACCTTTTTAAAAAATAAACTATATATTTGTGACCAGTTCTGAACACATTGTTGATTGTGGTGTTTTCATGGGATTTTCTGATAATAAAAACATTTTGAAAAAAAAGTCTGATGAGGGAATGAGGAATTGTCCTGATGAGGGAAATTGTGCATAATATATATTTTTTTAGTTTTCTTAATCCATCTTCATGAAGCAATTAACTGTAAAAAACAATAAAACAAAACATTGTTTCTCTCTCTCTCTCAATGCACTGCACTGAAAGAAGTAAATTAAGCGCATGGTAAATTGCTTTATAATAGATCAGTAAAGTGCATAATGTTGGTTTTATCCCTCCAAGCCAGACATGATCTACTGAGTTAATCTCATGAAACCTTTTAGATTTTGTCTGGCTTGCAAGTCTGCGTGGCAAAATATGTCCTACAGACATACACCCAAAATACTTCACAAGTTAAAGCCAGACCAATATAGATATAGAGGAGTAGTAAGGGTAGTAAAGGCAAATATAGATCAAACATATGCAGTTACATACTTTCCTTACACATTACAATTCTTATACCATATTATGTCTGTGTCAAACGTCTGTCAGCACTGGATATTTTAGCCTCATTTTGATCATATATCTAAACATTTGTGATTAGGAAGCAAAAATATAATACACAAGCATTCAAGCTAAATCTGTTGAATGTTCATTATGCGTTCACATACATTCCTGGAGTCAAATACATCATGAGTGCATATAAGACTTGGCTTCACCTATGTGCTCTTGGCAGCTAGGTGTCCTGCTCCTGGATGATATATTGTTTTTGATCTCATTCCCCAGAAATGTGTGTTTGCTCTGAGGGAAAGGCTTGCACAATGCCAGAAAACCCCTACACATGTTAAAGATCTAAGCAGAATACCTTGATGTAATCAACAATGACTTTCTCTGGCAGCTAGAATACCACGGTGTGAGATAGGAATGTATTCAGTCTTGGATGAGTGCTGTATGATTATTATTATTGTACATATTAGATGTAAATATGTTGACACACCTCAGGGTCAATTGATGCTTGGACTGGGCAATATGACTGAAATCCATATCACAATATTGATTTTAGCATTTTCCTTTATCAATACACACTCAGTGACCTTTTCATTAGGTACACCTGTACAATCTAATGTAATTCAATACAACAACCCTGCCATAACATCTATATATACAAGGTTAATAATGATCAGTTTTTACTCAATTAGTACGTCAAAGGTTATTGTTTTTGCCCTTCACACATACATGAATGAGGGGGACAGAATATTAGAAACAACTCTGTATATAATGTAATGCAGTACAACACCATTACTAACAATTAGCTCCATGCTAAAGCATATAATTTAATTACAACCTCTATAACAGTCTGTGACATTATAGTTATTATGTCAGAACAGTTGTATTAGATTGTATTATAGGTATTATAGGCTGTACAGGTGCTCCTACAAAGTGGCCACTGAGTGTATATCAAAATATGGCAAATGCATTGCATCAGACAAAACTGATGTTTTCCAATCTGATTGAAATCTGCAGAATTTTGAAAACAAAGCTAACGCAATACAACCGTACAACCACAATACACTACAACAATATTGGAGCCCAAATAACCGCCTTGGTACCATCATGAAAATGATCACATACTTCTGTTTGTGACTAGGGAGAGTGAGTTTTAGGCCTACCTATCTGTTCCTGTGTGTGAGAGTGTGATGGCTGAGCCTGGACTTCAGCCTGGGCCTGCTGCTGCTGCTGCTGCTGCTGCTGCTGCTGTTCCTGCAGACTCTGACTGTCCACTGAGATGCCACTGTCGCTGTGCAGCTTCTCTCCCTCCGGCGTCACCATCTGGTTGTTTGTAGCCGCACGGTTATTAGCTGCCTGCTTGTTCTGTTTGCAGCTATTCCACCTGTGGAGAAGTGGCATGTCAAAGAAAGATCCACTCAATATTATACAGTTATGTGATATGTTAGGGGAGTTTTAGATAGATGAATTTCACAACAGTATAAAGCAATAACTGCCAGCATTTTAAAGGTGTGTAAAATTTAGGATGATCTATTAGCAGAAATGGAATATAATATTGATATTCATTGTTCAACACATCAGTTAACAGTTTGTGTTTATCTTAAAAGCCTTTTATCTTGGGTGCCCGGTTGGCTCAGTTGGTAGAGCTGGCAACCCTTATACGGAGTTGCTGCAGCGGCCCGGGTTCGATTCCGACCTGCGGCCCTTTGCTGCGTGTCATCCCCTCCCTCTCTCCACCCACCGTTCCTGTCTCTCTACAGCTGTCTATCAATAAAAGCCAACAAAAGGCCAAAAAAAAACTTTAAAAAAAAAAAGAATTTAATCTTGACATTAGTATTAGTATTAGTACATGCTGTTTGAAAATGCAAACAAGTATGTTAGCTAACAAGACAAACAGGCCTCTGATATCATGCTAGGACTAACTGGCTTTATACTGCAATACAAGAACAATGGTTTTTTCTCTTCTCTTTTACGTTTCGCCTTTTGCCTGTAAAATGCAGAATATCCTCATCCGATCAGCACACAATGTCATGTGTTTAGCCATTGAGAGCATATTAAGTATTTATATTTCACAAGATTTTTTATAATGTGTGAGCATTATAAAGTCTAGGTGGAGATAGTGTTTTCAACCAACTCATGGAGCTAATGTAGCAAGTACTGGTTAGTAGGTGGTTACACTAGTATCTTAAATAACGGACCCACTGTTTTAGTAGCTGCATGAATATCAATAGTAAATTATTATAACTATGTGCCTAAGAATAGAATAGAAACTATAATAAGATGCTCATAAACCATTTGGAAAGCATGGAAAAACTTGTTTAGAAGATGAATCACTCAAGAGTTTGTGATTAAAATATTCATGAGGTAGTGAGTGGTACAGTACAGTTAACAGTTAAGTGTTTACTTATAAAATATTGTGCGTTAAAGGTATTCACATAATTTGCAGTCGATTTCTGCATGAAGATAAGTACACGGGGAGTACTAGCCAGATGTGTGCGTGACTCTGCTGATAAATCTGGCACTTGAATTTCCCCTGGTCTGCACTTTTCATACAATCAATGCCTCTAATGAGCTTGTTTACTTGCTTCAAATGTGTTTTAGTGCGGGCTTGAATCTGTCTCTATGAGTGCTTGCATGTGTCGTTGTGTGTCCTCACTTATGTGTTTGTTTTTGTGTGACCTCTGTAATGCATTAAGTGTTGTGACCTCTTTTTTTTTTAGCAAAAGCTCATCGTGGTACATTTGAGTGATTCTCTTGAACTGGGTCAAAACCTCTTTAACTATAGCAGGCCTGAATATTTCACCAGCCACCTACTGCCATTTTTTAGCCCGGGGCAACATCTGCCACTGTCTCCAACACCAGACGTCCATCTCCATCACTGTTCACCTACTTTGTCATAGATTATAGTGTGACAGAGGTTGTGCTAATGTATTTAACCACAAAGCAGCTTTTTATCTCATTCTTTTCTACTAACTGACCTCTTAAAAACAATGTATGCGACCAGGCCGACCACCACGGCGGCAAGGATGGAGCAGTAGATAGGAATGAGGTTTTCGTTGAGACCGTGTCCGAGGAAGCGAGGAGATCCAGCACTGGATGTGGTCGTCTCTCCTCCTGGCAACAGGCTGTCGGAGGCGTCAGGGAGCAAGTAATTGGTGATGGAGGGTGGAGACAGACCCATATCGGAGGTGGGAGTAAAATATGTTGGGAGGAGAGGATCTGTACAGGAGGAAAATGGAGAGAAAGGAGCATGTGTGAGAAACGAAACAAACTTATATACAACTAAGAGAAAAAACATGAATATATTTACCAAATGCCAGTTGTAAATAATATATTAACATGGTTGTGGACCAACAGATCAACATTGCCATCAACAGAGCCATTTTGCTAAAATCATGACTAGACACTTTTATATCTTATCTCTGAGAGCTTGTTTGCTGGGGTGTAGTCACCAAGTCCCCAACCAGATGTCTGATGCACACATGCGGCAGCTGTTTCTGCTAGACAGATGGGTTCTGGCTGAGTTGCTGTGTGCAGAAAGAAAAGGAATGTTTCTCAACTAGGGGGGGCAAATATCTGTCACCAACCAGCCCACCATACACCAGGCCTGGGCCCTGCACGCCAGGTCTCTTCTCACCACGTCCCCGTCCTTGTGATCTCTGCACATTGCATGACATTAAGGCCATATGGATCTATGTAGAACAAAGTCTGGGGCTTTAGGGAGGTCATCACTTTGAGTGTAGCCTTTGCTGAGGCCAGAGAGGCAGGAAGGCTCTGTGCTACTGGGTGGGTCTGGTTTCTATCATAGCAAACCCTTGAAGGAAGAGTCATTTTCATAAATTGTCCTATTTCCTCTTTCTTTGTAAGCTCCATTAATGATCTGCTGTGGTTCCCCATCTTGCAGCAGCACCATGTCCACTCTGATGGGCATGACTTGTCCTGAAAACACTGTTTATTATTCAGATGTCCCCTACAGCCCTGTCACATTATGCTTCTGTTTGGAAAAGCACTGTAAATAATACTGCAGTGATTCTGTCAGATGGTAGAAAAGCTCAGAGAGTTGCCTGCAAATTATTCCCTCCCTCAGGGTACGGTACAGCAGGCCGAAGAGAGGGCCTGTCCAGCCAAAACGAAAACTCCTCTGAGCTCAGCAGCCTGGTGGGGACGGAGAATGTGCAGCCTGGTTCAGATCTGAGCCTGTAATTCTCAGCAGAACCTCAGGCTGCTCCTCATTAGCTTCATACTGGCGCTCACAGGATTAACCCGTGGAGACCCCTGAGGCTTCCTTCAAGGCCAAAGACTGGGACGCTCTATCCAAAATACTTTAGGGGTCGTCCTACTTTACAATTGTTCTGTTTTTGAGGGATATAACCCTAAAGTATGATGGACAAACCCAATACAGCGATTACAGTGAGTGAATCGGATCGCTAACTGGTTGCCAAGTATTGGAACTTGATTCAGCTTTCACTGAATCATATTTTTAATACTCACTAAGAACTCACCCACCTACTACATGTATTCATTTTTTTCAATGTAGTCCTACAGCGTATTTAAAAAGTAGGTACACATTTACTGTACATATATTAATTAGTGAAAGTTTAAAAACTTCCATATGTTCAGGTTTTCTCATTTATCTCCACTGATCTAGGCCAGCAACAGATATTTCACATTTTATTCATCTAGCATTTGAGATATCCACCTCTTTTGCCCCTAATTCACCCCAATTCACTGTAGTTTACAAATCTTAATAATTCAGCAGCAGTGTGTCTTTCCATGTCCTGGTTACTCTGCATAATCCAAAGATTTCACTATCTGTCACAGTTTTCATTGGAGCTACTTCAAACTGAAGAAATACTATTTACAGTAAAACTGTAGTAGTAGTAGTGTGTTCTGTGGATTATACAGAGTAATGGTGGACATTGTTTTTGCAAAAATATTTAGTTTGTAATTCTCGTTGTTTTCAGCACTACAATTTTCCTTCACCTCCATTCTATTGGGGTGACAGCATCAATTTGGGCGACAGATATCTCAAAACCTGAATAAATAAACCCTAAACCACTACCAAAAAAAAATATCATTACATTTAAAAGCTGTCACCTCATTCACATGGTACATGATGTATTGTACATGATGGTATTCACCTCGGACGCAAACCGAGAATGAATCCCTGATCATCATATAACTGTTTTGTTGGCCAACTTAAATTCTCCCAAAAATGTAGTGTATTCTTTTAAATGAAGAACTCATTGAACCAATCAGTGACTAGTGATGTGGTTTGATGACTATAAGAAAAAAAAAAAGAAATTCAGTGGACCATCACCCCCAAATGCTGCCCACACATATATTCTCTTTTCACTGACATGGCAGATAGTCAAGTTTCTCCACATTGATCTGTTGCATAATTTACAAACGGTTACTCCCTCTAACAGTCCGATGGGACCTTGATGGGCAACTTATGTGGACACACTAGAAAAAGTTCTGTTGGTCGTTACGAGTGCGCGTTGGTATGTCTGTCTGCATGGTGATGACGGGGCATTCCTGCCTCCCGCAGGGGGGATTAGTTTACTGAAATGGTAGAAAATATCTTTCATGGACACAAAAATACAGCACATGTGCGTGCCATACTTAGAAACACAGATATAATGCAGAGGTCTATTTAAAGCGGTGTTATTGATTTGGATCAGTCTAAAAGGAGGGAGCGTTCGCAGGAGTGGAACACGGGTGTCTGGATTACAAGCATTTCTTGACCTTTCCTGGGATGTAGTCAGGTTTCCTCAGTCCTGCCATATATCATCCAGCTAATGCAGGGCTAGCTAATGGTATTAGCAATGCAACACGAGCTCGCAAATACAATAAATTGTGAATGGAAGGCGTGAAAATGAGTGAAAGTGTGCAGGCGGTCTAGGCCTTATATACACTTTGTCAAAGAAGCTACAATCCTTACAGCCTTTCCTTACCAATCTGAGCTATCAGTCATCCTGCACTACTGTGTCTTGCTTTGGTGCAATGAATGTTCTCTCTATGCAGATGTATACATGCATCAGTTGCACCTCAGGATTCGCTGTAAATTGTCTTTCTCATTCTGAGCCAAAATGACAGCTCTCCTGGGAGTCTGCTTCACATAACACTGACTCAACACATGCAGCTGCAGCTTAAGCACAGTGTACTACAATTTTTATTGTAACTCCCCCACTTTCACTCTATTTCTCTGGGCTGATGCAGAAAACACGCCTGGCTGTAGACCAAAGGATAAACCTGGGGCTCCAGAGGCTGCATACCTCAGTTGGAACAGAATAGGAGCTTAAAGGCGGCGGTGGAGCTTTAACAATTTCATTTTGGCTTCAGTGGGTTTAAAACACTCATGAAACAAAATAAAACTAGCCCGGGATTTTATGAGCGTGGGGCTGTGTGTGCAGGGAGATGTGTTTATTAGTGGGGTGTGGACGAGAGGGGGAGAAAAAAAGATTTAATTTTTATGAGCCATTGAGGTCTTTATGGTGAAGTTAACCTCAGGGTCTTGTGTGGAGGTTGATGTCTTGACTGCTGCCAGTTCAGGGTGGAGATGAGCAACTATCAGGCGCAGCACATGTACAATGACCCCTTTATCAGCCGCCAAACACTCTCCCTCTGTCTCAGCTCAGCCTCTATCTCAATCTTCCTCTGTGTTGGTCGCCTGGCCCGCACACATCCATCAAACACACGTACTACAAATTATCCAAGTGAGCGCTCTGTCTTCTGTTAGGGAGGGTTAATAGGGAGAGCGGAGGGGAGGGCAGACAGAGAGGCAGAGTGTTAGGAGAGAGTGAGGAGGGGGTGCAGATGAACAGAGAAGCTGCTGTAAAGTGCTCTGATTAGCAGGAGTAATTATACTGCAGCGGTGAAGGCACTGAATGCACACTGGCCACCTTCCACCACTCCACTAGCTCGGCCACTCGAGGGCTACTGTGGGAAGAGATAGAGAGAGCAAATGAAGAGAGGACTGGGGGGAGGAGGAGAGAGAGTGATGACTGAGGTAATAAAGGGAAAAGAAGTCTGTCTCTATCTGTTTTTTAATCTTTCCCTCTCTCGTTCTCGAGGACAAACACTCCAACAGACGCTCAACACTTCACGTTTAATGCAAATCTTCTCAACTGGAGATTGAACAGCACATTTTTGGAAAGGCTCTACCGAGGCCAAGCGGACAGAGACCTTCAATAAAAGATGCAGGAGGTGTTTTCAATTTCAGATCAAAGAAGTTCACACATGTGCGGTGTCCGGAGTTTAATGAAAAATGTCGAAGTTAAAGTGCACTTGGCAGGGGGACGTGCATGCATGTGCCGTGTTAGCTTGCTATCAGCTGTATTGATTTTGGATGCTCATAAGGAGTGTTTGTGTGTCTGAAGCTGGAGAGGACTAAGCTAGTGTGTGTGTGTGTGTATGCGTCCTGCAGTCAAGTGTGGGTGCTCATAGAGGTCATTCAGCGAAACCTGAGCATGAGCAGAAGAAATCCCAGGACTCATATCGACCCCTCAGCATAGAATACCAGCACAGCACATATGCTGCAGCTCTCTCTGTCTGTTTTCATCTCTATTTCTTTCTCACCCTCTTTCTGTCTCTGTCATTGTATCATGTAATTGACACTTAGTGACAGCTGGATATGAACTAGGGATTTAGGGATTTGAAAATACCACCAATCATATCATTGTTTACCACGTGCTTGGGAGAGAGAATGACAGCAGGATAGGAATTAAAAATGTTTTCCTCACATAAAAAATACACAGACAGGATTAGAATTCCTGCGAGGCAGCTTCCTGTTTGTTGCAAAAAACATTGCTGTATGCAAAGTCATCATAGACCACCATGGAGGGCCTGGAAACATCATAACCACCACATGTGACTACAGTCATTACCCATAGGCCCATTGGTGCTATATGACAGGGCTCTCCTTTCAAACGGACGTCCCACAAGGTCACTTATCGTGCCATCTCCACTGCTACATAACTATTGCTCAGGACAAGGCAGGTCAAAGGTGAGACCAGCAGCATGGGTGGGCGCTAAATGGTCAGCAAAAGGCTGTATTGTGACCTACTGTACATCAGATATGGGTAGATACAGTAGATGTTCTGGGTGTTTTTGGGGGCATAGGGTGCAGTTTGTTCTGATGGCTGTCAGTTCTGTCACGATAAGGCATTAAGTCTTGGTCAGTTATACGTGGAATATGGAAAACAGTCATCCCTAGCATCTCAGCATGTGGAATTTGGTATGCAGACTTTCCGAGACTGCAATCTTTTTAAAACTTTAGACTTGTTGCTTGATTAAGGAAATTTGAAGACTGCAGTTTTTTTTCATCATGTCCTTGTTTTACTCTGCATGATAAACAAAAATCAACAAGGCTGAACTTTGATCTTAGCTTGAGCTGGCACAGATGTGGACATTGCTTAGTGCAATAAACATTTCTTCATGCTCAAATTTGAATAAAAATAAAAACATTTTTCCATTCTACTCAATCATATAAAATTGTAAACAATGCTAAGAGTCTACAGCCATGCAAGCAGCTGTGAGGCTGTAAATAGGCACAGCAGTTCTATAAGCAAAATGCTAACATCAACATGCTAATATCCTCACAGTGACACTGCTAACATGCTAATGTTTATTTTGGTCATAAACCAAATTATTGGAAAAAATACTCATCTTGGTGCTTGATGAAAAGTTGGGATCACCAAATGTATTATATTTCATTATGCGCATGCCAGGAATGTGCGCAATCCATCCAATAGTTGTCAAGACATTTAACTCACAAATGTGAACCTCATGGTGGCTATTAAAGGAAAAGTGAGAGGATCGCCTGTGTCAGAGGGATTCATCCTCTGGACCATGAACGTCTAAACAAAATGCCCTAGCTATTCATCCAATAAATGTTAAGACATTTCAGTGTGGACCAAACAGGTGTACTAACCAACAGACTGACACTACCATCATTAGAGCCACACAGCTAGGTAGAAGAACATTGTTGCAAAATGTGACCTGGTGGCACACAATTTAAAAATGCAGAGCAAAGCCAAGCAGAGGTCACTGTTTGAATAGTCTTGTTTGTGTTCAAAATTACTGTGGTGATGATTTATTGGGGATGAAAATCAAAATGTAGCACCTTCCCGTGGAAGTAAAGGTGGTAAGTTATAGTCTATGTTATTAGCCCTTCTTCAACCTCATCTACCTTTCCTGCTCTTACCTTTCCCCAGTTGAATGCTCCACTGCCTCCCAGTGCTATTGCAGTCTATTAAAAGGGAATTTACACCCTCCATGCAGGGCTACCACATCCACTGTATCAGTATAAGTTCATTAACTTGGTAGATCCAAATTCCTGCCAGCATCTGAGGCCATGAAGTCGCAATCAAGTCAGCCTTCGAGAGAGAAATATTGCAGCTCAAGTCTAAATCCCAACATTCATATAAAAAAGCCATCATTTGAATGTTCATTTAAAAATGATGATGCACACAGGAGATCAATAAATAGCCCTACATTAGCAAGTGCTTTTGCTGTTAAGTGCTTTCTTTAAAACATTTAATCACTCCACAACGTAAGTGCCTCTTTGGTCAAAGTTTGCATTTAAAAACCCTATACGGAAGGAACAGAGCATTTCCTAAGAACAGACAATGAACACTAAGTTATTTTACAGTCCTCGCTTATCTGATACTGCTTTGAAGAAAGATAGCAGATTTTTCTAAACAAAACTGAGAGCAATGCCACCTAAGACATTTTACCTTCCAGATTTGAGCCGTGTTGCCCCCTGAAGAGGTCAATTTCATGCCTCATCCAGCTTGAGAGAATTTACAGCTTCCTTGGTTACAAGCTACCACTGCTCTCGAATACAAGGAGCCCGACACTGTTCCTCGCATGTTGCCTTCTGCTTTGCGGGAGAGCAGATTATTCACTGTGTTGACACTGCAGTAGTCTTTGACCTTTGAATGCTAAAGCTTTCAACATCCTGCCATTTGAAAACCTGACCAGCCGCGACCTCTGACTGTGACTGAGACATATATGATGGCTCCAACACAGCTTTGAATTTCCTGGCAACAACTGTGTGTTAGGTGTGCTGTCACTTGAACAGCTATGGACCAAACCACACCAAGAAAGCTGGAAAAGGAAGGTCTTCGCCTCCGAGGATGTTATCAAAATGGTAAATGGAAAATCAAATGCTCCAAAACTAAAAGACAACAATAACCCTTTGTTTCCTTTGATCTGATGATCTGATTTAGCTGAACTAAAGGTGTGAAAGCAACCTGAACATGTGGCAGACTTACTGTGACAGACAGAGTCACTGGTTGGTGTGCACACAGCCATCTCTATCTCAGTGTCTTCATCACAGATGGTGCAGGGTAAGCAGGGGTCGAGGGAGCTTTCCCGGTCGGAGAAGGTATCGTCCACGCACTCCTCACACACCGTGTCGTGATCGTGTTCGCAGTGTGCAAACACACCCTGGCCTGCCGGGCACACCGTACATGGCTCACAATGGTCTGATTTCCTGTCAAAGAAATAGTTGTAGTTGCAGACGCAGATGGCGTCGTTGGAGTCGGTGCAGGGTGTCTCCATCCGCATCAGACCGGTACACTGAGTGCAGGGGCTGCATTTCTCTGTGAGACTGTAGTTCTCTGAGAAGGTCTCACCTGCAGAGGAGAGGACAGGTCGAAGGCGAGACAGAAAAGTGAGAGGGAGGACATGAGAGAAGGGGCAAAGAGTAAAGGAGGTTAGAAGATGGAGAAAGCAGGAAATACGAGGAGATAAACAGGGGGATAAACAGTGAGTCTAATGACATTAATCATGTTTACTGCACATTCATTAGAAGGGAGGACACATTGATCCACTGGGCTCTTAGTGATTTGTGCTCCGGGACAAGAAAGGTGCTCTTGTTGGGGAGCGAGTCAAGAGCCTGCTGTGCTCATTACGATATCGATCCCAATGTGTTTGTGCTGCGCTGAGTAAACTGCTTTAATCTCAGTTATACACACAGGGTGAAGAGCAGGTGCATCGACATGCTTAGACTGATGCAGAGATGATAAAAACCTGCATTTAAAAGTGATCAAGCTATCACTTGGGTATATTTAACGGCTCTAGAGGGATTTAACGAGTCATTCTGCCAAAGAGGGAAATTTATCGGATGCGCAAATACATTTTTCATTCAAGTAGCTTGAGCTAAACTCATCTACACACATAAATTTTTTATACATAATTTATACAAAGATAAATATTATTATATTACATTGTTAATCTCCTAATAGTATAATAACAATTATTAGTTATATATTTCTTGCAGAAAATGTAATTAGAACCAATAACAACCTCAAACAGTGTTTTGCTTATGATTGGTTAATGCTTATGTCTGTATTGATTTGATATGATTTTAGTTATCATGTTAACATGCTCACAATGACAATACAAGGGTGCTGATGATTAGCAGGTGTAATGTTTATCCTTGTCACTATCTAAGTTTAGCGTGTTAAATAAGAGATAACAGACCACAGCTGAGTTGTGGAGAACAGTGTTGAACAGAATGGGGTAAAAGCTGAGCTGACTAATTGCCTGCTGCTTTTCAATTACTTCAAACACTTCAGATTTACTCTCCTGGAATGTTTGCATCAGGAAGATTTGGGAGAGTTCATCGCCGAGGAAGTAATGACCTAAAATTAGCTTATTCTTACATTGAGAGTTCCTATGGGCACAAAGTAATCTATTAATATTGCATGTTCATATAGAATTATTTTCAGATATAATTGGATGTCTGCTGAATTATGCATGCAGTTAGAGAGGGGGGTCTGTGAGTGTGTTTTAATGGTTGAATCAAATGTGTGTGGAGTCAAGAAGCTGAAAAATGTACAGCTTAGATTCGCCACGGAGGCACTGTTCTCCAAATCCCATTTGACTTTTTTCATGGCGTGTTTAAACATGAGAGCGGTCACCTTGGAAGAGCTGCAGTTCAGACAGAAACGACACAATGTGTGACGTTTTGCTCCCTGCTGCATACTGAAAACATTACAGGGGTGGCAGAGTGCAGCAGGAAGTTTATCATCCATCCATCCAGCACAAACACTTCACAAAATGAGATTATGAGTCAAGAATGTAGATCAAAACAGCTTTGTAAATTCTTAAATTGACACCAGAGACTGCCTGTTTCACTCTTGATTTCACAAAATGAAGCATTCAGCACGTTAACATTGGTTTAAACTTGTCTTGGTGGTTAATTGCTCTTTGTCTTACAATGAAATAAATCATTGGGATTGAGTGTAACTCTAAATAAAGCCACATGGATGTGTAGGACTTTTGCGCAACTCCTATCTGCATATGCATATGTCTGTGTGTGTGTGCTTTTCATGAGAACTGCTTAGTGGGTGTCGTGTTGAGCAACAGCATATTGTCAGTGTGAAAAGCCCTGCAGCAATGTCCCAGCACTTGCTTTGCACTGTAAGCGTCTCTGGCAAGTAAACACTGGCACAGACTGAAGCTCTAAACACCTTGTAAACAGCAGCACAGCTAAGAAGCCGTAGATGAAGGTTGTCACATTATACTGGCAGACTGATTGGAGCAGACGGAGGTAATGATTTAGAGACATGCAGGGAGGAGGCAGAAAGACGGATCAACAAGCTCAACAAGCAGGACTGGTCGCTCGATTGAATCTAGGTCTTCGAGGGTGGTCTGGTTGGACTCTGAGTCCAACCTGTCTCAAAAACATGATTTAAAGACCAAAGTGTTGAGGAAGTGAGGATGTAAAACTGGAAGGGGAAAGGTTAGGGGAAATGAGGCAGTCGGGGATGTAAGTGAGTTCAGTTTCCTCCTTGGATATACACATACACCGTCAGATTCAGTGTTTTTTCTTCTCTCTATCTGTCATCACCCTTTGCTCTTATTACTGTCTAGAGGCAGGAGTGGTAAAAGAGAGTGACACTGACGGAACAACCCAGGCCCGGACATATAACAGACCTCAGAGGTAAACGATTATTTGAATTTGTGAGCTTGAAGCTTTTGTTTTCTTTGCAGTCAGGCTCAACCGGGACTGCTCTGCTCATTCATTTCAATTATCCCACAGTGCACAGGCTTCCCTGCTAATTTTAACTTGCATGCATGAGCCCCTTTCCAGCCCTTGTGTGTAAACACATCTAAACACGACCATATGCACCGAGTGTTCAACAGGCACCGGAGAGGAGTGTATGCTTTGTGCGTGTGTCTAATCTATGTGTCAGCTCTAAAATCTGGGAGCTAAAAAAAGAAAGAAAGCGAAAGGCCATCAAGAATCAGGTGGAAAGTGTCTTTAATAAAATATGATCCTTTTTTCTAATTGTCCCCAATTGAGCGACGATCAGCGCATCCCAGCAATCACTTTTCATGTTCGGCGGAAAAAACAGCTATTGGTAAAGAGAGATGTGTATGTGTACCGGGGGGATGATGCACTTAAAATGTGCCACTTCAGCTCATGACGACCACCCCTCTCCAAACAGTGATGTGCTTCAGTCCCATTAGTGTCATCAATAATGTAGCTCTCAGCGGCCTTGAAACTGCCCAATGATCTCCACAATCAGCACTTTAGGTGTAAGCTTTTAGCGAGGACAGCCCACTGCACTTTCTCACAGTGTGTCATGGTCCACGTTTCAGTGGAGACACCATTTTCTTACTAACCCGTTGCTGACTGCGGATAGATTACCAACATTTGGAAAACTGCGTGACGGCTCTATTTGTCTTTTTGAACATGCATGTGTATAATTATCACCCCACTTCACTGGCCCACTTAGCTTCCCTCCTGATTTGAAACAGGTGTTTTAGGATATTACCAAAGCTATTATTAAGAGACAGAAGGGGGAAAGTTCTATTTTAACAATCAACAGTTACTCTTGTATCAAGTGCTGAGCTTTTGTTCTTTGCCTTGTTGGGGTGCCATGTAGAGAAGAAGCTTTCTCCACAGCCACAGTGGACCTGCCAGATGACAATCTTCATTTCCCCTTTCCTCATCTCTCATGATCCAACATTGGAAGCGATTCTTGTTGCTCTGTTTCAGCCTTCACCAGACGAAGCTGTGATTCTACTTTCCTTCCTCCTTTAAATCCCCAGTGATCCCCGTTCCAGTCGGCTAGCGGGGCTCTTCTTAAACGCTACATTGACTCGTGCCTTTTTTCTCTCAGATCTTCAGTCAGTTTGCAGGGCAAGTTCTTTCTGAATGGTTCACTAAGTGAGGCAGGTCCGGTTGTCTTGTCTCCCATGACAGCAGAGAAAAGTGGAGGAGACTGCTAAATATTTCAGCACTGCTGACGCTGGCACTCGTCCCGAACTGGGATAGGGAGGCCATGAAGAAGGGGGAGAGGGGGTTACACTGACAGGAAGTGGGGAATTAGGGGCGGGGGGGGGGTCATGGTAAATAAAGATTCACCATGAAACAGGAAATAGATGTGTTGAATTTTACTCTTTAATTATTAATTTCTGCACTTTAGCAAATGTATTTATAGGTTTAGTTTTTCAGGGAAGGTCAGTGTTTCAGCCTTTGACTTCCATATAAATCCTACTCAGACTTGAGTGTATGTGCCTCTGTGGGCTTCAGGTACATTAAGATTTCATCTGCTGAAACAATATTGAAACCAATGAAAATGCATTCGCACCAGAAATTAAGTGCAACCTCCTGGGTATTTGGGCTTAATTGTTGAGTGTTTATCAGCGGTGAATACCGTTCCTGTACTGCAGAGCAAGATAATTGTTCACTGTTAGAGGCACAATAGGCTTTTCAATATGGTTTAATTAGCTGGATCAAATGAGTAAAGATGCACTGATGTAACAGTATGCATGATGAATGAGCAGATCGTGCCCTTTGGTGCCTGGTTCTCTAATACCATTTTATCCGCTAATACAGATGATGAGTCATAGTAACAGGGAGGAGGAGGAGGGGGATGCTGGGTGAGAAAAGCGAGTACAGGATGGAGAAAAGAGGAGACACGACAAGGGTTGGTGGGATTCGCTGGTGTGGAGGGGTGGGGGATGAGGGCGTGAACGTAAAAAAAAACCCTCATCAGAAGCACAGTCCTGAGGGCCAGCCCACATTATAGGAACATGGAGCTGCCGTTTACCATCTATGCATCGCTTGCCGCTGTTTACGGCAGCAATATGAAAAGGAATATGACGTGCAAGACAAATTCCTCCTGACGTCAAACCAAAGATAAAGTCCAGGCGCTCGTGAGGCTGCAACATGTTCCTCTACAGACTCCAGGCACCTCCACTCAGCCAATTTCCTGCTTCAGTCTATCATCTGCAATGTTGGATGATGACTATTAATTACCCTTCTTACTCACTCTCCGTATACTGTGTGACTGGATTTTTAATGACACTGATACAAAAGCAAAGAGAAGTCCACTTTATTTCTCTTTTATTTTTGCACACAGACACATTTTTGTCAATTTCACGCCACTATCTTTTCTAACATTGACTTTGTTTGACAGAGTTGGTTTATGTGAAATTGATTTGCAGTGCTTTATGCTTTTTTGTTTTAGCCTGTGGCACTGTTGCGCTCTAGATGCAGAGAACTGACGCTGTGCCCCTGCACCCATTGTTGCAGCTCTGTAGTTCCTTCAGGCGAAGAATAAAAACTTAAAAGGGGCAAAACCAGCCAGACTTGAGATTCTTAATAACGTAACACAACACAGAGATTAGCATCTGTTGTGCAAAGAAGTTCACAAGTTCAAGAATAATCAGAGTACCAATTTTCTTTGGACAAAAAAACATTCCTGCCAGTCTGCAAGCATTCTTCCAGAATTTAATTATTTCCCTCAAAATGTCAGTGGATATCACTGTGTTCTGTTTTGCACAAGAGAAGGTTTTCACTGTTAGAATACTCTGTTTACATGCACCATTTGCTAGTGCTTACATGTGTCTGAATGGATTAATGCAATCAAACAACGTTTGGTGCACTGTAATCGTCCAAACAGGGCTAATTTTGGATTTCTGTGTCAGACACAAAGTCTCAAACTGCCACAATTAATGTGTGCATGTACATTTAAAAGGTAAGGAAACGCACCACTGCAGAGTGTCATACATTTGTCTCGTCCCAATTCTCCTCATCTATGCTGCGATGCTCCTGACCTATACTTTGACGTTTACTTAGCACTCTGACATACACCGACATCTTAAAGGGCAAAAAGAGCTGCAGGAATGTGATGCAGAGAGACCCTGAATCAAGAACAACGCATTTGTTTGCAGCATTGGCTCTTGTTCTCCGTGATGTTGCGGTGTTGGCACCTCTCCCAGCTCTGGTCTGTAGAACGAGTGCTAATGGTTCACAGCCTGAGTCGAGCTGTAACACATTTGGACCCACTTACAAGCATCAAACATATGAATTTCTGTCTTATTTTTTGGGACACTTGATAAAGGCAAAGCCGACACTTCATACAAATGAGGAAATTGGACAGAGTTTGTTTTGGCTTTGACGTTCTTTTTGTTTGGAGTTCAGGGCCCGAGCTACCATTAAAGGCACAGAAAATGAAGTGGATGTATAAATAAAGATGATGTAAGTGTAGAAATGCAGACATTGCATTAATCGGGTTTGAGTGTGTGTAATGCTGATGATGACACGCAGTTTTGCAGCTGTACATCAGTTTTAATGTCTATATACTGTATTTGATTGTCTCCAGATTGAATTTTATCCCTATTATGTTTCAGGAAATAGAGTTTCCTCAAAGTCAAGTTTTGGCATTTTGGTGTTAAAAGTTAATTTTCCAATCTATTAAAGGGTCAGTCCACCCAAATTAATGAAATAAATAACACATTTTGACCTGATTGTGAGCAGATTGGAACCACATTGTACCAACAATGAAAGCTGTTGGCAGTGAGGTCTGCAGTCATTTGTTATGTTTGTGGAAAGATATAATGCGGTTGAGTTCACTTCAACAACTTATAAAACTGATGGTACATAAGGAAATGAGACAATGTTTTGGTGACACTGTTTGATAAAGCACCTTATTACTTTATTTACCTGCAAAAATAATGTTTTTCCTCATGGAAAATAAGTGAGATCATTTTACTTACTTAAAGTAAATAAACTTCATTTGTTGTTTTTCATACTCTCAAATTCTCATACCTCACGCTAACTTTTAGGAGAAAAAATAATTTGCAAAACAAACTTTAGAGTTAACTTGTGAATAAAATTTAATGAATTAAATTAAATAACAATAAAAATCCCATTTGGCTGGTGTCTGGTCCATTCTTCAATTTGGTGTCTCAAATTTGTGAGCTCATGTTTTATTGGCTCTGGCAGATGTGTCTGGCCAACCTTCCTTTCAGACATATTTATACCAGTCCTGGATCTGGTCGGGCCGATCACAATCTTTTATCTAATATGGGACGGGTTTTATACGATGAAGTATAAGGAGTGCGACCTCATTGGCCATTGAGGTTTTTCGAACAAGATGACTGCAGCTGTGTGGAATTGTTGAAACTGTTGCTGTACTTCCAACTGGATATTGTAAGTTTAATTTACCAACTGTGCTACATCATACATTTTGATGCTCTGATGGTTGCATTAAATTGCATCATGAGGCATTTTGGTCTGCGCCCATTGATGGAAATGAAAAATTAACTGAGAGGATGTGTATTAGTCTGGTGAAGCCTTCTAATAAGCCATCAAGTCTGCAAAAAGTCATTAAAGGGTATGTGCAAGATTTCATCCAGTGTGTGATTGTAAAAATAGTTATTATATAGTGGTACCAATGTTTTCTTTTTATTTGATTTGCATGTACAAATATACAATTAAAAATCTCTACTCACTGTCCGAACACTGGGCACAAACTGTCTGCGTAGCGCCGCATTCCTTCACCACTCCTTCTCCAGGTGGACACTCCTGGCAGCATTCTCCACTTCTGGTGTACTGGCCGGAGTCACAGGGGACCTGCACCGCTCGCTCTGTCTTAGACGCCAACACTAACGCCACCTGGCACACCGGGACAGTGGTACAGAACATCAGAGCAGCACACAGAGAGAGCAAACTTTCACACATATACAAACACACACAGCACACACAGGGCCACTGTTAAACATACACAGCAAAACAAATTGATGAAAATTGCTGCCAGGTGTCAAACCTGTTCCTTAAATCCAACCGCTATCAGGATTCATCATAAATCATGTTGTCTCCACCTAGACACACTTTGAACAAGGCAGTCGTCTAAACTGCCTTAATAGCTCCCCTGAAGGCACATCAGCTCTAATAGTAAACCTATGACACGCTCCAGCCGAGGCAGTTACCATAAAATCATGTGTGCACAACATTATACACATGCCCGTCCTAATTACTGTCTAAAGGTGAGAGGAGCTGTGAACGTCAACCTCTGCTTCCGATCTGCACTGGCACACACAAACACCTACTTCTACTCCTATACTTGTGAGGACTTTTTATGGGAATAATGCAGCAGTCCAAAAATGTCCTTAAGGCAAAAGTCAAATTGGTTCTCACAAAGACAGAGGCACTGTTTTTTGTCATTTAGGAGGACATTGCATTGACTTACCCAAACTGTAACCAAAAACCAAATCTTAATAGTACAATTTAATGGTTTATCGTTAATGGGGTTTTTTTTTACAAAAAGGGAGATCCCCAAAATGTACCGATTTTGGTTCCCAGGTAATAAATAGTACACATACACACTTTTCTTTTGCAAATCAAACTTCACTCCCACTGCTGAGGCTGTTGTTGCACATGATAATAAAACTATTTTCATTTGCATCTTCCTAATTAACATAGCAATCACACTTATATATATTATATATTATACTTTAATATAATACATTTATATATATTGAGGCTTTTATGTGCCTTCATTGGTTAGGACAGCTCATGATAGACAGGAAAGGGGAGAGAGAGAAGATGACACGCAGCAAAGGGCCTCAGGTTAGACCCAGACCCATTGCCTGCAGCAAGGACTCAACCCCAGCACATGAGGCAGCTCATGCATGCAGCATGCAGCTATTGTTCTGTTTCCAGGTATTTCCATACATAGTTTGGTTTAAGTTTGAAGTACTTCTCCCTTATCCAGTCTGATTAATCTACTTCAGTTATCACCTTCTTGTTCTCCATCCTTCTCTTGTTGCATTTCCTCAGTCCTCTCTGATATAAATGCAATGCAGCTCCACTGGCAAAAGAACTGAGGCTTGTTCCACTGGTGTGTAAACAACAGTGTTAAATAAGAGGAATTCATATCCAGACATTTTAGAACAAAGAAAATCATTATACTGAAACATTTTCATGTCTTGTGGCTCTTATTATTTCCACTTAATTCACATTTGCTGAGACATCAATTAAATCTTTCCTGTCTTTCTTTCTCTCATTCGTCCCTCCCCTCCCCTCTCTCCTCTCTCTGCTGTCCCTGCTTTCATTCAGAAACAGATGTACTGAGCAGCCAGCAGCTCTCTCTCTCTCTCTCTCTCTCGCTCTCGATCCTCTTGCTCAATATGTCATTCCACTTTTTGCTCTTGATGTGCTTTCCATTTCTCCTGACTTTACAACCTGTTATCTCTATGTTTCTGCACAAATCTCAGCTCTTATTTGGGTATATTATCGCGGTTAAAGGTACGTTTATGTCTGCAAAAATGAACTTTGAACGCAGCCCAAAACCTCAAGAGGGTTCCCTCCTGTATCTGCAGAGGAAAGATTCATATCCCTGACTGCTGCACCAGCCCCCTTTCCTGTGACATCTCCCTGGAATATCACTCAGCTCAAACACAGATTACAGGCAAAAATCAGTGGGAAAATTTGTTCACCACCAGCAGGAACATACATCCGCACACACACTCACAAAAAAAACGTACGCTGACCCAGCTGTGATATGCTTGGTTTGTACTCTCCCCAATTTCATGGTCAATTTGAGAGTTTATTTCTAAATTTAATTCTACCAAAGTGCACCCGACCGTCGCCACCCTTTAAACCAGCTGTCATAACAGTGTCCCCTCACGTCCAGGGCTGCTCACATGATGACTGAGCTGCACAGCCCAATTAGACCAGCTGTTGTGGACAAACCAGAGCGGGAGGATGTACCCTCTGCTCTGTGCTTTATCACCACCGTCCTCCATAATCAACTTTTTCACATTATCAGAAGAGCCTCATGTTTTGTGTCAAAATAGCACAAAGGATTTATAGCTCATGTTGGATAAGAATTTAATGAATCAATTTACTTTACATAAGCTGCAGCATCTTTATCTCCTCTTTTTTAAGACCCAAATTAACTAAAAATTAGAAATTACTTCTACTCAGTAATGCTATTAAAGTCTGGGCCAAGGCGGATGTCAGTAGACTGCTCCTGGATGTCTGGATGCAGCCAAATGTGAAACAGAAATCTCAATTCTCCAGAAACTAATCCGAGCAGGGCTGCCTAACTTCAAACCAAGAGGGAGCTGTGTGTGTGTGTATGAGTGTGCATGTAGGGGCATGTGTATATGTGGAGCTAGAGGGGATATAATATAACCTGGGTATAATATCACATGCAAATCAGTTGGTGTTTAGCTACATGCAGAAAAAAAACCAGCACATTGCTTCTTGGCTTTTTTTTGTTGTTGAGGGAAACACCACAGCAGTGACACAGTATCCATTTAAACCCTGCTCATAATATCAGAGAAATGTCACAGGCATCACAAAATGGATTATAAAGAGCTCTGAAGTCAAGAAAAACTCACTACAGAAGTCCCAGCAGGATTGTAAATTAGCAATATCATAGAGGAAAGTCTCTAGAAAATCTTCACACAAATTAAGCTCCAATGGGGATATTATAAGCAACACATAGAAACATCATTGAGAGGAGAGCTTAAAAAATAATATCACAAAGTGGAATAGGGGCACTAAAAACTCTTATGCAGAGTAATAAAGCAGCATTCTGAGAATATTACAGCAACTCACAGTAGTTTCTGTACAGACTACTCACCCAAGCGCACAAAATCACCAGCGATAAGGTAGTAGTCATCCTGCGTCGCCTGCTGGAGTCACATAAAACAGATCTTGTGCAGAGAAGGCAGCGCTATGAGGAGGAGGAGGAGGAGGAGGAGGAGGAGAGCCGCTCAGCGGGAGTGCTCATTTTAATTCCAGCGGCACGGATTTTATCAATGAGTCCGCACCATCACGCGTCTTTCCAGGACCTCTGGGCTGGAGTCAGATGCGACTGTCGGTGCACCCCTCAGCACCACCACACACTACCTCACCAACAACACACACAGAGATGAAGAAGAAGAAGAAGAAGAAGAGGAGGAGGAGAAGACCGTCCTGTCCGGAGTGCTGCTCAGCTGCAAGTGCACTGCAGAGGAGGAGGCTAGAGGAGAGGAGAGAGGGGGCACGTCCACCCTCCAGTTTATTACCCCTGATACTTCTGCAGTAAGACTATACAACCTGCTCCTCTCTCTCTCTCTCTCTCTCTCTCTCTGTCTCTATCTCTCTCTCTGTGTGTATCTCGCTTTAATCTCACGTGAGGTCTGATTCAATTTAAAAGTGACATAAAAATGATTTACATTTAAGCATTATTGTGTGACACATTACACCCCCTCCACATCTCTCCATTTAGTGACATATAATGTGGCCAAAAGTATATAGACACCCCTGTTCAAGCACTTTTATGCCACTTTTTGGTCTGGAGCTGTGTTTCATGTGTTGGGTTTGTCCCATTCCTCCCAGTTTAAGGGGAATCTGAATGCAACAGCTCACTGTAAAAAAACTTTTAGGGGCAATATTTTGGAGAAGACCCTGTTTCAATATGACAGCCTCCCTCATATACACAAAGTCAGGTCCATGCGTGCTGTGGAAGAACTGGATCAGACTGCACAGACCTCAACCCCATCTGAAACCTTTGTGATGAACTGTGACGTCGACTGTGTTGGACCACCTTAATGCTCTTTAAGACCCTGAGAGAGGAGGCTGTTATGGCACATAAAGTGTCCACACACTTTTGGCCATATCTCTATGACATAATCTAAATTAACTGCTGTTGACACTTTGCCAGAGGCTATAGTTTGTGCTGTTGTTGTGCTGCGTTGCATTATCTTGACGTGTGTTTCTAATATTCTTTTCTACTCCACATATGCAAATAGGGCTTTGAAAATATTAGAAACACCTTTCCATAAAATTTGCTCCAAGACAAGACCACCACAGTACAGCCTCAAAACTTGTCCTCAGAATTGGGTCAACACACAAATAACTAAAGAAACCTCAAGGACTGCAGTGATAACAGGTGTTTCTATTTTTCTACTTTTTTACTCTCCATATATGATGAATCTGTTGTACAAAATCTTACTTTTTAAAACAACTTTGTGATTACTAATTGCTAAGCAACATCCAAGTCTAGTCAATGCATTACAAGGAACATTATCATTGTGTACCACAAGAGGGCGAATCAGCTGAGCTGAGATCAGCAGCAGCTCACACATTCTGTGTAATGATCTTGAATGTAACAATGAAGGATGAGGTTGTTCTTCCCCCAAAGAGGAATCACTTCACAGAGGGATGTGCGCTGTGAAAAGGCTTCATTTTCACTGATCTCAGGTTTCACATGACACTTTCATACTACTACACAATTTAGCACTGTGCATTCAAAAGCTGCCTCCTTTGAAACATGTGTCCCAGAACTGTACTGTTCTGTGCTCTCAAAAGTGGGAAATATTATCCTTCATCCTTTTTAAAACATCCTTTTTTTTTTTTTTAGAGATGTTTGAATGGTATTATATTCTATTAATTCTAGTAATTCTATGTTTCATGACACACTGTACACAGTATTGTACTGTTTTTCTGGAAACCTGCTAAACATGTTGAGGTTTATTAAGGGTTTGAATCACACAAATCCATTAAGCTCTGCCTGCTGCATTTCAGGTGCTTTTTTGTTGTTTTTTATGGTCAAGATGATACTAAATTTGGTGTGACCACTCCGAAACCACTAATGCACGTCTAAACATTGTAATTGTGTTTGATGCTCATTGAGGTACTTAGCCTTTATGCGTAAGGAAAATCAGTGCTGATGGATATTGATCCAAGACAATGTGACGATGAAGCAGCTGTAGTCACCAAAAAAGTGGACAGCTTTATCTGCGTCCAACCTTTTCCCCGATCTCCTCCCTGTACAATCCTCCTGACCCTGCCACTTCCACCTTCTCCACACTGATCATCAGCTCAGGGGGGCGCAGACGCCGATGCCCCTGAAGAAGCTGCAGCAGCAGCAGCAGCAGCCACAAGGTGATTTAGTTACACTGTTGAGATCCGAATGCTCTCCAGTATTGATCTTGGAACACATCAATTTTCCCACTTCCTACATCCTCCTTTGAGATCACCCCTGCAGCACCTCTGACTAACCCCCATTCTGATGACTCTGGCAGCACTCTTCTCCATCAATACAGCCTTCTTTGATATTGTATTCACATGTCAAGTCCTTTGAATGCAGTATTTAGTGTCCCTAATCACCACAGTCTGGGTAAAGCCAGTGTTAACTACCTGCACACCGGTAGTCGATGATGCACTGCAGCTCTGACACGACTATCAATAAATGATAATAATTAATACAAACACTCTCAAGCCATGTTGTTGATATTGTTTGATTCCAACAACAGTGTAACAGAGATGTAGTACAACTCTAGGCTGAAATGTATCCAACAGCCAGAAATAGAAAAATGTCCTCTGAATGTGAGCTCTATTAGTAGTGTTATGGATATATGGATATGTGCTGACAGAGCCTTTGGTAGGATACATGTATTTTTCTCCACGCGTATCACATTTCCAGCTATATGACTGGTCAGCGAAAGAAAGGAAATGTCATGTCAGTCTGCAAGGTCACTAATAAAATACAATCTTGATGAAGATAACTTGCCACCCGGCGGAAGTCGTCACAGTGAGCAACTCAAGGGCAGCGCCACATGAAGTTCCCTGAAAACAGTTATTTTGTACTGAAATGTCTTTTATGTGATGATCATCTAATGAACGTAACTCTGTGTTTACATCCATGATGCTTGTTGCTCTAATGCAGTCACAGTGGATGGACAATGTCTCTCAAATTTCAAACTTTTTCATGTGAAGCTGAAACCATATTATCATCACTATCTTGTTGCTGCTGTTTACGTTCCCCAAATTCAAACTATACTGCAGAATTATTTCCTGAGTGTATGTATTTATATATTGTTTTATTATTTATTTATTTGTTTTGTTTTTGTAATAGAAAAGTAATTATCTTTTTCTATATGTGTAGCATGAAGGGTAAAATATATGCAACAACATTAAGTCTAAAAAAGGTCAAAAATCTTAAATCTTGTTCATTTAAAGGCCCAGTTTGTAACATTTATTTATTCATCTATTGGCAGAAATGTATTTGTGTATATCCACCTGAAAATAAGAATTGTTATGTTCTTGTTATCTTACAATGAGCCTTTTATCTACAGACGCCGCGGGTCACATTCCGTGGAGGCCGCCATGTTGAACCGCCATGTTTCCACAGTAAGCCAGAACGGACAAACCAAACACTGGCATTTTCAAGTTTCAAGAGCACAATTTTTTCTCTTTCGTGCTTAAGTGAGGAAGCTGCAATATGACACTATAGATGCCACTAAATACTATACACTGGCCCTTTAACATTTTCTATATGTCTATTGTGCCACCAGTTGTTTGTTTATTTTTGTTTTGTTTACTGCTTACCAAGCTAGCATTATACTAGCTGTCTTTTTGCTAATGTGTTGCTAATACAACATTCTGTTGATTTACTGTTGGGCTAACTGTTTTGTATTTTACTCAACAAGTATAATTTTATGTCATATGTAACCGTCCTGTAGAACCATAGAAGCGCTTTTTTCAGACAGTGAAGGAACCCTAACCCTTCACAAGGATTTGGACACATTGTTTAGGCAGTGTACCGTAGCATGTTGCATTTGAAACAAACAAAGACTTAAAGTAATTACTGTCAGCTTTAAGGGTCTTTGAAGGTTTTCACATCCATGGTGGATGAACAGTGTAGAAATTGTAGGCCTTTATATACATATTCCCTCTAATCTTTGAGTTCAATTCATATACTCTTTTCCTCCAATTTAGGTGCAAACGGCCACAAATTTAAGTTGAGAGTTAGGTATTTATCCTGATCAGACTGGGTTTCTCTGGTCTGGTGGAACTCAAACGTGGTAGAAGGAATTTTTGGCCATGCATGTAAAGAGCAGAAATGATCCACATAATCAATCACCTCTTGGTCATTCACATCCTGATTGGAGGAGTAAGACAAATAACGTCCAGGTTAACACCACTTAAAAACGTGGCTAGAGATCTAAAGAAGTCAAGTATTCAAACTGGAGGAATGTCCTGTATTTCTTCTCTTTAATGCATCTCGCTTGACATAAAATACAGATGTTGTACTGTTTAGACACAGATAAGTCCAGTCAAGACACAACGATTCTCCTTTTGCAGTTTAAATACAGTGTGAACAGTGGTATGATGTTACAACAGTACAGTGATTTCTTGCCTTTGTGCAGTTGTGGTAACAGATCGGGGCTGATATAAGGGTCGGATGGCCACTGTATAAAGTTATGGCCCAGCATGTGTTGAGGGGAACCGCTGGGAGAGGCGTATTGAGTCGAGAGGGTGGACACCACATGTTTTGAAGAGTCTGCCAAGTAGAGGATAGAAAATCACCTGTGACTGGTTACACATCTAAAAACATGAATTATAGTTCCTGTTTAAAACAGAGGAGGAGATGCATTCACCCTTCACAAATCGTTTGCAAATATAAACCACAAAAAGTATGCGGACCGCTGGAGCTGAGCCAGAGCTGTAGGGGAACGTACACTTTTCTCCTGGCAGGCTGTCTTTACACTGTCATATTCATGGTTGGGGTTTTTCTCCTCCTTGGTTAACTTAAACTCTAAAAGATTGCCCATGTCCAGAATGTTAAGCTCAAATATCAGAGGTTCAAAGAGAAGAATAAAAATGGATTTTTAAGCAGATGATCCCATCAGAGTCATTTAACTGGTCTTGTTACAGAATTATTACAGAGAGCTTTTCCTACAAAAATGTCCCCATATATCACATATATTTATGTAAAGCAGATACAGTAAATGCCAACTGAGCATTGTGAACTTTTTCATCTCCAAATCCCTGGTTTATTTTTTACCCCAGACTGGCTCAAGCTGTAATCAATGGTTTTGAATATTTGGCCAGTGTTAGTGGTTTCTCCTTCCTGTGGCTTCCCTACAATGAACAACAAATTTCCGGCTGATATATTTAGTCTTCCAGCAGTTGTGCAAAGTTTTAGGTTGTTACAAAACACATGTCTGAGCTTCTTTTACTCTAAGAAGTGCTAAGTGAATTAC